CTTGCACACCAGTTAATATGTTACATCAATCTCGTATTTCCTTTTTTGTTGAACATATACTTACTTGTACGTTGTACTCTAGGACTTGTATTTGTTCTACAGATGAATGATGGAATAGTGTAATTTACTTCTGTACGTCAATTCGGTCTCACTGTATTTCAGTGGGTGGCTTTTAAAAGTTAAAACTGCAAGTGTAATACAAACAAATAACATAACACTGTGTCATATTTACTTAACGTGGAACAGTTGTGCTATATCCTAAGGGAGGGCATAATTATTAATTAATAGGCATTATAGACCAGAGGAAATTTTGCACCTCTTCACACCTGCGCCCAGGACGACTGCCCCCTTGCTCCGCCACTGAACAAAGCTTGCTGAAGAAAGGCAGAAGCCCCCAGGTTTTTTTATCTATAAAACTCCAACCCATCATTTTTTGAAGGATCAGGCAAAGCTAGAAAATATATGTAACTTGTAAGTATGTGTTTGTATGGGCATTTGTATCCAGATAAATTAGTATACTTCTCTTTCTTTCTTCCTAGCTTCTTCAGCATCTTCTTCTTCTTCTTGTTTGCCTTGGGCAGTAACAATCTGAGCATCAAAGTTGATACTTCCCCCAGGATTCACTAAACTAACTCCAGGATCTGACCTAAACATTTCAACATTTCTGTTAACAAGATATACAAGCTTTCAGATAAACCTAAAACTGTTAACATTTAGATATTCATAACAATTATATTACTAATATAAGTAATATGGCCAGTCAAGCAATTACAACATAATTACCAAAGAAAACCAACATCAGTTTCTTTCTGTCATTAATTCAGCTTCTAAAGATGCCTTTATGCTAATGAGATAATACAGTTTTATTTACCTTCAGCCACAATACAATTACTTAAAAATAAAGATCATAAGCACTTATTTTAAATAAATCTTATTGTATCTAAATATATCAGGGAATATCTTAACAAAAAGGCTAATCATGAATACTACTACTATACTAAATTTGATAGACAGCTGGGTATCTTGTGAAAGTACATAGATCTGGTTTTAATATTTTGTTGAAAAAATATCTGGGTATTCTTTGAAATAAGAAAGTTATGTATATGTCTTTATGCATAAACAGGCATACAGTAACAGATATGGTAGTGACCTAACTTTAGCTTCCACTACTTACTTTCTGTTCATTAATTAAAGGAGTTATACATATGGTCTATTTCAAACACTTCAAGAAATACCCAAACATTTAAAATTAAAAATAAATCAAGTTTCTATACATACATAAATAGCTTGAACCTAAAATTACGGTTCACAATTTTTTTTTTTTGATTCACTAAGATAGCAATGTGTCCCTTTCAAAATTAAAATGATACATACAGATTTTCAAATATAGTTATTAATTTACTAATTACAAGAAAGGGTTTGACCTAACTAGAACTATTATGAAGGACAGATGTTGACCTTCAAAAGTTCAGAACACATTATCTTTAGAAACAGAATTATATGGTAATACTTATAGTATTACTAATATATTAATAACTATTAGTATTATATAAATATATTTTGTTGAAACTTTTTTGGTTATGATCTGAAGTACAGAAGGGGTTTCAGTATCTTACTGAATCAACAAAACTTAAAAACAAAACAGCCTAGTCATGATCAAGAAAGTTGGTGAAACAGGAAATTAGGACATCAAAAAGGATGTATGAGAAAAGGTTGGCTGAAAATGAAAATATTAACAGTAAGGATTTCTTCAAATACAGAATACGTAAACAAAATGTTAGGATGGGGTAGGAACCTTGAAGGATGATAAAGGCTAGTATCTGATGATTATGAGATGGTTGGGTTATTAAATTTTGCCTTTTCTCCAGTTTTTACTGATGAAGATTTAAGCAGTATTCCACATCTTGAACAGTTGATAGATAGAAACAAGATCAAACAAGTTGACTTCATTAATTCTGAGCTTGTTAAGAAAAAATTGGGTAGTTTTAAAGATAAGGCTCCTGGGCCAGATAATATTTCCCCAAGGGTTTTGAAGGAGGTTAAAGATTGGACATGTGAGCCACTTACTACTACTTTTTGTCAGTCCTTGAATAGTGAGCAGGTACCAGAGGATTGGAAGTTAGCTAATGTAACTCCTCTTTTCAAGGGCGATGATAAAAACTGTCCCAGTAATTATAGTCTCATTAGTCTTACATCAGTTGTGGGAAAAGTTTTAGAAAGTCTGGTAAAAGATGCTTTGCAAAGCCATTTAACAATGTTTTGAATATTACTGGATAGTCAACATGGTTTCACTAAGGGAAAATCTTGCCTTATAAATCTTTTGACATTCTTTGAAAAGATTATTGCTTATGTAGATGAAGGTAAAAGTGTAGATTTGGTGTATCTGGATTTTCAGAAAGCATTTGACAAGGTGCCACATGAAAGGCTTGTAAAAAAATGATCTCTATTGGTGTGGAGTTAGCAAATTGGATAAAAGAGTTGCTAATTGGAAGAAAGCAGAGGGTTGTTATAAATGGAGTTCAGTCAAACTGGATTAATGTCACAAGTGGAGTACCTCAGGGCTCAATCTTAGGACCCTTGCTCTTTTTGACTTACATCAATGACATAGATGAAGGGATAGTCAATATATTTCTTAAATTAGCAGATGATGTTAAGGTATTGGGTGTTGCAAGCTGCGAAAAGGATGCTGCTGATTTACAAAATAATTTAGATCACTTAGTAAGTTAGGCAAATAAATGGCAGATGGGTTTTAATTATAATAACTGCAAGATAATGCATGTGGGTTATCATAATTTGAATTATAAGTATAATTTGGGTGGGAATAATCTTAACAGTGTTATGAAGGAAAGGGATCTTCATATAATAGCTGATCAGTCTCTAAAGCCATCCAAGAAGTGTGATATCGCTAATGGTAGGGCAAATAGGATTTTAGGTTGTATCTACAGAAATATTGAATACAACTCTAAGGAGGTTATAATTTCATTGGATAAGTCACTGGTTGGGCCAAATTTGGAATATTGTGTTCAGTCTTGAACTCCTTGTCCTAGGAAGAACATTGAATTGTTGGAAACTGATCAGAAAGGGTTAGTAGAATAATGCCTGGGATGGAAGGGTTGTCATACAAGGAAAGGTTTTAATCTCTCATATTGTTTTCTCTTGAAAAAAGAAGAGCTATGGGGAAATCTGACTGGAGTGTTTAAGATTGTAAAGGGAATTGATAGCGTTGAAGCATCAACTTTTTTTCATAGTGAGAATAGTAGGACTAGGGGACACAAGTATAAATTTTGACAGGGTAGAAATCTTCAGCTGAGACAGTTTCATTTTTCTAACAGGGTGGTCGGCCTTTGGAATGGGTTGCCTTCAGATGTTGTAGAGGCAGTAAATTTAGGTGAGTTTAAGAAAAAGCCTGCTAAGTATATGAGTGATAAGGGCTGGCTTTAAGTTTTTTTGTTTTTTTATTTAATTTAGAGGATGGAACAGTTGAGATAGACCAATAGGTCCTACGGTGTCCCAAAACATTATGTTATGATGCTGACAGTGAATATAATAGCAGAAACCTAATCCTCTGTTCTGTTAGTATTAGGAAAATGATAGAGTTACTATAGATAGTAAAGTATACAATACAGGTTACCATATTTAATATTATATTTGATACTAACAATAACACTGTGAGTGTGAGCCAGAATAGTCTCCATACAATTACAAATTTGAAATGGTGTTAATGTTACAAATTATAATGGTATGCTTACACTGTTACAGTTACAAGTTAAATTACAAATTATTACAAAACTATTGTTTTAATGTTTAGTAGCTACAACTTACATATAACTTTATTATTTATAAATATAAGAATAGTAGTAATAATAATACAACTTACAAGTACAAATTATAATGTTAATGTTATTATTATTAAGCCTAATTACATTTACATTTAAATATCTAACTTAACAATTAATATCATGTTTCACAGTTTAACTAACATAACAACAACACACTTATCATAGCTCATCATTGAAAAATACATTAAACCAATAATTACTACAACGATAATTAAAATCACATTTCATCCAAAATAAGCGGTTTGCTTACATGGTTTAAAAAACATGGAAACAGGTTTAATGCCCTCTAGAAACTATTAAGAACATGATGTTAAAAACAAATAAGCCAACTATTTGGTGGCTTGTATGAGATTACATCATTATAAGACTAGAAACAATTTTTAACAAATATTTTTCCACTGGCCCTCCTTCTATTTTCATTAACAACAATATAATAGTTTCTCGACCAAATCGTCTTGTTTGCTGATCAAGCTTTTTGTTCAGTATCAAAACTCATCAGATCAAGTGGACATGCAACATACAAAACCCTTGTCGAAACCTACTAGGCTCATTACTCATCAGCGGTAGGTTTACAGACTGACAACACTGAAATCCAGGGTTCAATACCCTGCGGCGTACACAGCAGATAGCCTAATGTGGCTATGCTCTAAAAACAAACAAACAAACAAGATGGACACTTGAACAATACATCGCTCACAATATTACTTCGCGTCACTGACGCGTGTCCAATGCCTGTAGATGAAGTTTTAGGTCTTTGGACGGTTCACAGTAGTCTTCTCATGAATACAATATGTTGTTAAGCAGTTCATGAGAATGACTTGTGGTTCCATTAACAAGTCAAATCAATTCAACCTGTGATAAATTAGAAGTTCAGCTAGCAATATAAGGTTAAATGTCACGTTCAATCAGATTGCGTCTCAGTCCCTTCTTGGAAAAGGCATTTGAATATTTATGTAGTGCACATGTTGTGTCTATAGTCATTTATTTCAATTACATTTGCCACTATGACGATTGATCATGTTTGTTCAAAGTGCTAGTGGTATTACAATTCACATAGCTTTCCATGGAACAGTTGACGCGCATTTACCTTAGTAAATCCTCTGATAATGCCAGATAAGGTAACCAGATTTTAAAACCCTAAAACCGAGACGCACTCAGATTTTAATAAACTGGACAAACACTCAAGTGAAAATGATATTTTGTTTACTTCTCTGACAGTGTTTTGCTTTTCGAACAGCCTCTTGAGTTGCTGCGGCCTGGCATGGACATGTGGTTTTGTCACTCGACTAACAATCTGCTGGGCAAGGGTTCGAAATCCCGTCCCACCGAACACGCTTTCAGCTGTCGGGGCGTTATAATGTGACGGTCAGTCCTATTTTCGTTGGTAAAAGATTAACCCAAGAGTTGGTAGTGGTTGGTGATGACTAGCTGCCTTCCCTCTAGTGTTTAATTAACTGCTAAATTAGGAACGGCTAGGGAGATAGCCCTCATATAGCTTTGCGCGAAATTCATAACAATTCTTAACTTGCTTTAAATAAAACCTTCACGACTTGATAATAGAACACTAACTTTGAATAACACGTATTATTTGCATTCAATTATCTCAGTTTTGGCAGGTGCAAAAATTACCTGCTCAGTGATTATTCAGTAGTGATATCATGTCTTCTTGTGCAGTTTGTC